GGGGAGGCCGAGTCGCAGAAGCAGCTCAGACAGTTGACGCAGCGGCGCCGGACACGGCGGGGGTCAAGCAGGAGAAGGCCTGGTGAAGCTTAGTTTGAGGATGCCACAATGATTGTTTGAACTCCCGGTGTCCCCTGAATAACCCCTACATAATCTCCTAGATAACCCCCTTTTGGGAGTTTCGACTATAGACTATAGCTCATGTAGGGGGGTCACCAGAAATTCTAGAGTCATACGAGTCATGCGTTCCTGAAGCAGGCCAGAGCGCAGGCGGATAGCAAAGCATGCGCTCTCGGTTTTGCCCTTTGTCGTCATGGTTTGTTAGCACGTCACAGCTGCGAAGTCCTGTGACTTAGGCAGTGAAACCTGCACGTAAATTGCGTGAATGCTTGCGGGGACACTTGAAAGCTTTAACATGCGCAGACATTATCGATCATCTACGAAGTTGGCACGCCGTTCGTAAGCAGCCTGTACAATCGGCGATCATGCTCGTCCCAGCTTTCCTGACTTTCTGAAAGTTCTTCCGAGGGGTCCTCATGCACATCACCCATGAAACGAGCTTGCATCTGTCTTGGCGTGTTGTGGAAGTTGTTCAGGGTCACGTGTAGGTAGGTTGGCCCTCCCGGAGGCCGGAAACCTGAGTAGAGTGGTCTGACCGACACCTGGCGGGCACACAAGTATTTGTGGCACTCGCCGGGCACTTGGATCATGACTGGCGGAAGTGCTTGTGGCGCTGGGCATCTTCCTCCAGAAGCTGCACTGGCATACTGGCACAGGTTCGTCTTCAGCGCAGGCCAGTCTGAAGGACGGACGAATTTCTTTAAAGTAGGCATGCCAAGTTTCAATGTCGGTTGGGTTGTCATGCGTGCGAAATGCAGATGCGCTTCTGAGATGTCGAAAAGGTCGGTGCTGCAGTCCAGCAGAAATTTTATCTGGGACAACTCCTCCAGGACTTCGACGGCGTCGCCATCGCAACTGCTGCTCCCGCACTCGGACCCTGGGCTATCCCTACTCTTCGCAAAGCTGCCAGTCCCAGTCAAACGGTTTCGACAGCTCGGACTGTTTGGATCTTCAGCTTTGAGACGGGCATCTGCGTCCTCAATCAGCGCCAGCAAGTGGCGATCTGTCGAGTCGCCAAGTCTGGACAAGCGCTTCGGCAGCACGACGTGAAAAACATCCATCGGAATTTGTATGCCCCTATCTCCCTTCATTTTGACCCGCAAGCATCGGGGCGTGGCGTAATCATTGATTCCATCAGCTGTAGATTCTGCAAGGAAGTCCTCGAGCCTGGTGTAGCCGTAGCCCTTCTCCTCGGTGATGAAGTCAGAAAACTTTCTTCCAGACAAGTCTTCCTGGGTGCGCAAGAGGCGCGGGAGGCAATTGGAGGCCCCACATATGTGGGTGCTGCCATCAAGTATCACGTTGCCATCACAGAGACCCTTCAGCATGCACTGAAAGGCTGACACCAACGCACCAGAGTCCTCTGCTTGAATAAAGGCTTCCATGCGGTCCCGATGGATGTTTAGGGTCGTGATGGGAATGGCAAGGCAAGTGATGCTAAGGTGGAAAGCTTGGTTGGTCCAGAACCAGACAGTCAAGGCGTCAAAGCCGCACGTCCAAACAGTCGTCCCAACGTTTGCTGCAAACCAAAAACCTGACATCACCAACAAAAAATCACGATCCGGAAACGCAACGGCCAAAATCAACTGACCTCGGGCGATCATCTCTCTTTGCGCAACGAAGTCGTCCGTGTCTGCTTTGTCTGACAGAACTGCACCAAGGAAGCCGAAAAAAACAGAAGCATGGATCATGCCGCAGGTGAGCCTAGCCATTTTTGGTGTTGCTGGCACGGCTTCATTAACAGCAGCCAAATAAACGACATAGCCTGAGCAGAGACCCACAAGCCACATTGCGGGGGCTAAGTCAAAGCTTTGCCAAGCTTTACACATCTCGCAGCAGATCGGCCCTAGCTGAGCGTGAGCAAAATAGGATCTGCAGGCAGTGAACCACGATCTGGCCAAGATATTGTCCAGCTCTTGAACACCCAGCTTGTCGGTCTGCTCTTCGCTAATCTGCGTGCTAATCTGCTGGGTCTTCCGGTGAAAGTTCGAGGACTTGCTGCTCAAGGCGAAAAACCAGTGCACCGCAAGAATGCCCAGAAAAATGGAAGCCACCAAGGACCGTGCGATCGCAGCATCAAGCAGAGGCCCATCTGCCCAGGGCGTCTGCCCCATCTGACAGACAAAGCCTGGTATTTCAACCAAATTGCAGACAGGCATGCTTTCTTGGGCCATAATGATCACCATGAACAATGATACAATCAACACATATGAGCAGCATCAGAACGGCCGCATTTTTGGACATGCCCTGGATTTGTCGAAGCGAGGCTAGATGAGGCAAGTGCGCAAGTCCCGGGGCCACGGCCTCATCTTCCTGGAAGTGTCTGACCACGAACGCGGCCTCTGAATGCAAGCTAGTGCCAGGCAGAGCATCGCACATGTGGAAGTTATGGCCTCCACTCGCACATACTCTGTGGTCCCATCCTCCCTGAGGACAGCCTCAGCGTTTCACCAGCACATACCTGACGGTGCAGTGCGGCCACAGGCTTACAATGGCCTTGAGGTCACCAAGGTGCGCCATCAGGGATAAACGTGAAGATATGTAACTTTGACTTCATTGCAATTGTTCGAACATGTGCTGCCTGCAGGGTTCTGATTGGCCAGGAGCTTGCCGAACTTTTTTTTTGGACATGCCATGTGGGACCGAGCCAATCTTGAAGCTGCTTGGCTGCAAGATGCAGGGAGTGCCTGATAGTGCGCATCCTGAACAGCAAGCGGCTGTCAGCTAGGTGGAGAACGCTGCTCCACTTCTGTAGTTATGAGTTATGCAGGTATGCCTTCAACCAGGGAAGTGGCTTCGACTACACCCCACGAGAGCATCATGTTGGCGCGGTTCCCTATGGGACTGCCTTCGGAGCCACCGGGATCTGATGCTGCAAAAGGTGGCTCACGTTTTGGGAAGCGCGCATCATGAGCATCAGCGCCTCCAGTCCCGGTGTGCAGGGAAGGGATTGAGTCTGCAAGCTTGCTTTCCTTGTGGACTTACGGATCAGGACTTACCCTAAATCGGCTGTGGAGCTACGCTGCGTCCAAAACTTCACCGAGCCAAGGCCTGGCTAAAAAGCGTCCCCACCAAATCCTCTTGCCATGGTCTAGTTTTTGGCCTGACTTGGGTGATCCCAGACCATGGATGGGTGCATTCCGGCGTGAAGCTCTGAATCCCCAGGCCCTAGCCTCGAGCCATCTCGAGCCCCACACCTGAAGTTACTTTCGTTCGTGCTGCGTCACTTGGGTGCTCTTGGGGCCGTGCACTCCTCTGAACAAAAGAACATTGGTTGGGGCCCGCGTAAGTTTGAGGGTCGAATGATGGCTTTATGTTGGTCCTTTAACAACCCTCGGGCGGACACTTCTCTAAAATTATGGCACCTTTTTGGGCAGCCGGACACCCTGAACCCTATCCTTAAACAGGGCCGAAGCCTGAAGCACAACTTCTTACCCCCCACCCCTCAACGCGCCGTGACCGTACCACCCCCCCCCCCCATCCCCCGTGCAGTCGGGCACCCGCGTACGTGGGATGTCCAAAAGCTTATTGGCTGGGTCGGTGACCATGTAGGCGCAGCGCATTTAATCTCCCATTGCAACAAAGAGGACACTGGCATAATTATTTCGCGAACACCCCGTCAATGCACTTCCCTGCTCCGTTCTATGCATGGGGCGGAAGATGCTACAGGGACAGCATCGACTGCAGTGATTCTGCCGCCAAAAACCCCAAAAAGCAAGTTTGCACAGGAGCAGCATGAAAGAGTCCAGGAATCCATGCCACAAACCGATGCTTCAATAAGAACACATGCATTCTGCAGACGAAAGATTGACATTCACATGGCATGCCCCAGGATGAATGTCCGATCGTGCTTGGTCGCTCCAATCTATTTCTGTGTGTTGGACTTGGTTGTGGTCTGACTTCGGTGCTATCATACAACACACATGCAACTAACCCAAAAGACATGGACAAATGAAGCCTGAAAGTGCACACACCCGAGCCGCCTGACACGAATCCAGCCCTGGGCCTGAAGGGAAACCATGACAAACCTAACCACCCGAGCCCTGTGATGCTGCAAACACGAGCTGCGTGCATCCGGCCCGTGTATCGAAGGGAGACAATGGGGGAACCACACATCCGAGCCAACATGACACCCATCCGGCCCAGTGCATTCGTGAAGGGGTCGAGCGAGTCAACGAACGAAGTGAAAGACATGAACGCCTAAACAATAAACTTGTAAATCCAACAGGAAAACGTAGACACATGTACAAACTCTGGCTGTCACTATGGGAGCCTAACCCTCGCACCACGCCGAGCGGCCGCTGGAACCCCGACATTATGCACATCCCGAGGCAATGTTGACGCATGCATCAATAATTCAAGTAGGGTGGGGTGTAAGGGCCATTAGCCACCATTAAGGGCTAGAGACATGGCAAACAAGAACGAGCGCGACTTCGTGAGGAGCTAGCTTTCGTCACACCCTGCCGAGCCTAGACTGCTACACTTCACCCACAGCCAGTCGCTCCCTTTTGCTGCAAGGAACGGCTCACCGGTGGGATTCCCCCAATCAGGGACTGCTCCAAGAGCCTGGCGCAAACTCAGGCCACTCTCTGTGTCTGCGGTGTGGCAATGCGCGGGTCGGTGCGGAGCGGCGCGGATGCGTGCGGATCGGTGCTGTACGGCGCGGTACGGCACGGCACGGTGCCACAGTGCACCGTTGTGCTGTATGAACTTCAAGCGAGGATACCTTGCCCATCGACACGTTCCAGGCGCTGCGAATAACGGCCTGGAGCGATGCCGTGGTAAGTGGGGAACGAAGCACGGGTCCACCAAACAGAACCGACACCAAAACCATCCAAGCTTCTGACAAACTTCGAAGGCCTGAAGCATCGCTGCCTCGGCTACCTCGCACCAAAACGGGATCCCAGCCTTAAGCCCGAAGCCCTAGCCCTAAGCCCGAAGCCCGAAGCCCCAAGCCCTAAACCCTAAGCCCCCCCGCCCCATCCACCCCACCCCCCCCCATCCCTTTTGTTGGCCCCTAGTTGGAGGGTCTTGGAGGCTATGTTGGCCCCTCTTAGAGGGTCTTGGACTATGTTGGCCCCTGGGTGGATGTTGGCCCCTCTTCTTGGAGGCGTTGGAGGGTCTGGCTGGGCTGGGCTGGGCTGGGCTTGGAGGCTATGTTGGCTCCTCTTACCCCCCACCCCCCCCCCGCCCCCACCTTCTTCCTCCCACCCCTGATACCGCACGAAGCCAAATCTCGGAGCCCCCCCCAAAGCTTTCAACTTTACACCTCAAACCGAACCTGTACACAGCTGGCAAGCAACACAGGTGAAGCGACAGTGCGAGCGCTTGTTGTCCGACACATGCCGCCTGAGGCTACCCCCCCCCCCCTTTAATAACCCCCTTCCCCCTTCCCCCCCCTCTGCCCCTCCCCCACCCCCCCGCAACCCCCAAAAACCCTGCCCCCGCGCTTGTTGCCCGACGGGCACCCCCCCGCACCCCCACTACCCCTTCCTGCCGCCTCGGTACCCTTAAAATTCCACTTAATTACACCGTGACTTTGCAGCGAGCAGAATACGGGGAATATGCGGCGCCAGGTTGCAGCTTTGATCGGTGCAGGACTTCCTGCACCATGGCGGCGTCCAGGCGCTCGTAGCGCTTTGAAGCTGGGTGAAGGAAGTACACAGGGTCCTGGACCTGCAGCTCGCTGCAGACGCACGTTGCATTGATAGGCACTACACATACACCACACAACTCCTCAAGGACAGAACCACTGGTCACCTGGAAGCCAACATGTCGGGTCCCACCTTCGTTAGGTCGATGCCTTCATTTCTCAACTGGACCTCGTATCAGGGGCAAAGTATGCCATGCCTGTGGAGATGACTGAGATTACTGAGATTACCTGCCTCAGAGTGTGCATATGCCAACCATGCCTACCGCTGGCAGATGGGATGTCATGTGTTGGCCTTCTGGTGTTTGAAGGTGCCGGTGACTTCCATGGACGGCAGGAAGCGCAGGAAAAGTGGCCGAGCGTAGCTTGGCAACTCCTTCAAGACACTCGGATCGGATGAGAAAGGCAGTGTTCATGTGGCTATGCAACGGCGAAACTGCCGAGCAGCCTCTGGCAAACAGCTCACAATGCCAGAGCTCCACTCTGCGAGCCAGCAAACCCCCACGGCTACCGCAGCTCCATGCTAATTCGACAGGGGTCGGCTGGAGTAGGCAGTGGTAACGGACCGCGGCGCTAACGTTCAGCGATGAGAACCTGGTGCTGACCGGAACCCTTCGCTTGGAAAAGCTGCCTCGTTGGCTTTCGCGCTTTTTATAGAAACAGGAATCCAACTAGCGAGCGAATTACAGGCCAAGTTTTTATGGGTGCCGATCGCCCAGAGAAAGTAATCATATGCAACAACAGTTCAGCCCGCCTGGAAAGCGAGCTGCTCTAAACGAACGAACCAACGCAAAACATGTAAACTACATGAACACCCTATCACTGCAGTTGTCCGAGGCTACAGAGCATGGAAACCCATAGCTCCGAAAGGCGTCGATGTCGACCCATGTCGACCCTTTCGGCCCCACCCGACGCATGCTGTCAGAACCCCCAACATGCGCGCACACACCGTGGAGACGTAATGATTTGTGAAGATTAAGACTAAGTTGCGAGAACAAGAACATCGCAATAAGAACCTCACGAAGAATGGTGACGTGTCATGGCTGACCCGGTGCCAGCATGCGCCAGCCTTCTCGCAGAGGGCCTGTAGCGCGTCCAGCTTCTCTCTGTTTTGAAGCTCCTGCTCCGAGCGAGCATGTTTCTTTCATGTTCCGCTGGGGTTCCAGCTTCGCGCAATGTGAGAGCACTCTCACGATTCTGCCTGCGAACCGTTTAAGGCGGCCATGCAGGCGCGTCCATCAGATTCACCCGGCACCTGGCGTTGACGAGGCTAGAATTTAAAAAAGAAGAATCCTGTGCCACCTGGGGATTCGTATCGGAGGCCCGTCCCATGTTCTGGGCTCTGCGCAGTGCAAAGTATACCGTAAACCCATAGGAAGACCACCTTGAAAACAAGATCCGAGCTGCCCCGAACGAACATTTGCACCTCTCAACACAAGTTGCCTTTTACGTCGGTGCAGCACACCACGCGCAAAGGCCCAGGCGACCCGAGACAGTATTCCTCCCTTCCGTGCATCGCCCGCAAAACCCACAGAGAGCATGAGGCTCCATCAAGAGCGGACGAAGGGTTTCCTGGCAAAGCGGTAGTCCATGTGCACCGCAAGAAACCTCCAAGAGCCATGGGTGGGGGAGCGCTGCTTGTTGACACACCCTGCATTTGCGACGCAACATTTGCTGATGGGTGTCTGTGTCGGAGAGAAATGCAAGGAGATTCGTTGGCGGACCCAAGGGTGTCTGAGGTTTAGCTAGCTTGGCGAGCCTGCTTGTCCAGTACTCTTGGGTCGCTGCTTCCATTAGCGAGCGCAGGGAATGGCAGGCAGCATTTTGCCCATTCTCTTTCGCGCCTTCCTTCTTGTGATTCTCGATCCGACTCTCGTTCCGACGTGAAGTAATGGCCAACCGCGCAAATTCGAGGCAGGCGTTCTGCACCTGGCATCGGACCACATCTCCCGCATCCCCGAGGGCACGGTGGCTGTTGAGGCCTTTGCTGCCTTTGCTGTCTTTGACAACGAGGTGCATGAGCCGATCCAGGAGGCGCTGTGTCTCGGTCCCATCGGAAAGCGGCCGGCGCTCTGCAAGGCTCTTCGATACAAAGCCTTTCAGAGCTTTTTTGTGAAGGCTGGCCGCGGATGTCCTGTCCAGCAAAGATGTCATCTCCGCGTCTGCTTTTTGCTCTGATGCTGCTGCTACCTTTTCGAAGATGTCAGCTAAGTCCCAGATCTGCTCGAGGCACAGTTCCATCAAGTCCGAGCTGTTTGAGCTTGCTTTTGGAGATTTGAAAACAAGGTCAAGGTCCGTGCATTTTCTCTGCGTCTGTATTTGCCAGGACTCCGCGACATCCCAAAGGCTACAATAGAAGAAGGAAAGCTGACTCTGATGCAGTGCCTGAACCAGACTTCTCAGCATGGAATTGAAGGAATGCAGCGGGCTTCCCACCGGAGTAACTAACAGCGCGCTTGCTGTTCGCTGCTGCGTTGTCCTTTCGGACACGGTGATGGACTGCAGCGCCAGCATGCAGTGAGAAGGTGACATAGCAAGACCACAGAACAGGGAGCTCCCTTTGCGTGCCTCTCGCTCTCGCGCTGCAGCCCTCACCATACGTGCGTCCAGTCGCAGAGCCTTCTGCTCCACTGCCGTCAGCCAGTTCTGCCAGCTGCCGGGAACGAGGCTGCAAAGCCTGCCAGGACTCAGCGTTCCGCTTCTCTTGCTCGGAAGCTGCCAGAGAACAGCGTGCCCAGAGGAATCCATAGAGAGAACGTCTGCACGCCAAGAGTTGGAGTAACCTGAGTCGTGGGCAGAGTTCAGAATGCCAGCTGCCGCGCACAAGACAGACACTACTGGGATCGCGTGGCACGGTGTACTGGCCGCATATGCTGAGACACCTTTCAGATCCCCATCCTTGTTGCAGTGTACCACAGCAGCAGAGACAAGAACTCCATGCCCCACTGCAAGGTACACCTCGACTTCTTCCCATGCATCGGTCAGAAGGGCGATTTGCCCAACACGCCCAACACAGAAGGGCGCGTTGACCACTTCAAGAACAGGAGTCTTGCAGAGAGGAGCGATGGACAAGGAGCCATCGCCATGCACGGTGACCTTTTTGACATGAACCTGCCCCTTGCTGCTGGCAATGGCCAACAGACTAAGCAAGCTCCCGTCCGAAGCTTGCCAGATAGAGGATGCGGCAACGGCCGTGATCTCCACTGATGGCTCAAGAGCAATGTGCTTCAGCCGAGAGCCTTTGCCGCTTTTGCAATTCTCCGCAAACCTTGGACCGAGCTTCCAAATCACCAGGGACGAGCCTCTACAAGCACAGAGGAGAGCAGCAGCTTCAGCGACTTCCTGCTTGCCAATGCACAAAGGGGAGGGCCAGAAGCATAGGTCAAGAACAGCAGCCCGAGATTCTGCTCCCGTCGCTTCAAGGAAGTCTTCACTCAGGTCAACTAGAGCACTTTCTTCGAGGTCCAGAGGTCCATCACTCTCAGAAAAGCCAGAATTGTCGCAGGGCGCGAGGACACATAGTCTTCCTCCAGAATCAAGAACCGCCAACAGGGAACCCCTGTGGCCCAAGGGCGACCATGCTGCGGCTATGAAGAAGTCCTTCCGGTGCTCGAGAAAACTCTCCAACTGGCTGGGCTCCTTGGGCTCTGTCCGCGACCTCTTAATTTGTGCTTTTGGCGCTTTTGCCTGCGTTGGTCGCTTGTACTTCTTGACAAGGGAAGGCTCCGAGGTCTTCTCAATCGCAGCTTGCATGTCGACCACATGGCATTCATCGTCCGTCAAGAAAGCCACCAGCGTTCCTTGCGACCAACACGGCGTCTTAGAGCCCGAAGGATGGCCTAAAACAAGAGCAGCCGAAGCCCATGGCAGCTCAGTGAGCTCGGGCATACCAATACCACGGCGCCGCACACCGCACAGCTCCCAGCGAAACCATGCGAAACCCACAGCCGGACCTGTGCACCCGGCAAAGTTCGTGCAGCTCGATCCCAAGCGGAGCATGCGGAGCTCAAGATCTGCAGAGGAGCCCATTCGTCGCGCTTAGCACAATTGGCACAAGCCTTGCACTAACAGATACTAACTGCTGACCTCGCACTAACTTAAAAGAGCTTTTCAAAAACTTCACACAACCTCACAAACACACACCCACACACACCAACGGTCACCACCGCGGCAGCACCGCGGCATCCTTGCCTTCACACCGTAGACATTGGCTTCCTCGACACCTGGGAAACTGGAGAGGACCTGTGACACCTCCATGGTGCTCACATTCCTCAGCACGGACACTCAATGCGCCGGCTGAAACATGGGGGTGGCACACGAAATCACACGAAGCAGAACTGCCGTAGTGCCATCTTTTGATCACGAAGCGAGTGCCAACTCAACTGCCAAGGAGCTCGCCCTTCCACCTGGCAGACTTGGCAATTGCGGCTCAAGCTTTTGCAGCCACGTGTCAAGCTTACAAGGATGAGGCTGTCCGGCTCTTCCATATATTGTGCAGGAAAGAAAACCAAGATGCACCACTTTAGTGACAATGCGACTCCCTCACGCAAGAAATCCAAAGGCACCATGCTCGGGTCACAAGAAAATCTACAGAAAATCTGTTCGCGTCTCGGGACCCCTCTTCTCGGTTCTTTGGCCTGGCATGGGTACCCCGCCTTGTCGACCAGCAACCGAGAGAGGACACAATCCCCTACGAGACTGTCCATGAACCCTGTATGGAACTTGTGTTGGGTCAGCCGCGGATTCGGAAACTGGAAACGCGCGGATTCGGAAACTGGAAAACCCTGATTCTGGAAACTACAAAACGCGGATTCGGAAACTGAAAACGCGGATTCGGGAAACCAGGATTCGAGAAACCAGCTGATTCAGGAAACTGGAAAACGCGGATTCGGAAACCAGCTGATTAAGGAAACTGGAAAACGCGGATTCGGAAACTGGAAACCGCTGATTCAGGAAACTGGAAAACGCGGATTCGGAAACCAGCTGATTCAGGAAACTGGAAAACGCGGATTCGGAAACCAGCTGATTCAGGAAACTGGAAAACGCGGATTCGGAAACCAGCTGATTCAGGAAACTGGAAAACGCGGATTCGGAAACTGGAAACCGCTGATTCCGGAAACTGGAAAACACGGATTCGGAAACCAGCTGATTCAGGAAACTGGAAAACGCGGATTCGGAAACCAGCTGATTCAGGAGCATCCTCCCCCCCTCCCCCCGACTTTTCACCAGGCTGGGAGGCAATGCCTTTGTCCTGGACCGCTTCTCCCCCCCCCCCCCAACCCTCCCTCCCCCCCCCCCAACCCCCCTCCCCCTCCGCGGAACACCCATTTTCACAACGGGCTGGAGCCCAAAGCGTGTTGCTTGATGGTGCTGGAGCCCAATGCTCTTGAATGGTTAGTGTCACCAAAGCACCTTGTCCCTGGACGGCCTAAATCTCCTTCCCCACCCGCCCCCCTATACCAGTTTCAACAGGCTGGAGCCCAATGCTGTTTGCTTGAATGGCTGCTGGGTGCCCAATGCTGTTGCTTGAATGGTTAGTGTCACAAAGCAGCCGCCTTGTGCTGGACGCTATCATCCCCCCCCCCCCCCCCCCGCCCCCCCCCCCCCCCGAACCCAGTTTCAACAGACTGGAGCCCAATGCTGTTGCTTGAATGGCTGCTGGCGCCCGTGCCTTGAATGGTTAGTGTCCACAAGCATCCTTGTCCTGGGACCGCTATATCCCCCACCCCCCCCCCCCCCCCCCCCCGCCCCCGAGACCCAGTTTCAACAGGCTGGAGCCCAATGCTGTTGCTTGAAGGGCTGCTAGAGCCCAATGCTGTTGCTTGAATGGTTAGTGTCACAGCCTTGTCCTGGACGCTATCATCCCAGTTTCAACAGGCTGGAGCCCAATGCTGTTGCTTGAAGCTGCTGGAGCCCAATGCTGTTGCTTGAATGGTCAGTGTCACAAAGCAGCCTTGTCCTGGACGCTATCATCCCCCACCCCCCCCCTCCCCGGGACACCCAGTTTCAACAGGCTGGAGCCCAATGCTGTTGCTTGAATGGCTGCTGGAGCCCAATGCTGTTGCTTGAATGGTTGGTGTCACAAAGCAGCCTTGTCCTGGACGCTATCATCCCCCCCGCCCCTCCGAGACCCAGTTGCAACAGGCTGGAGCCCAATGCTGTTGCTTGAAGGGCTGTTGGAGCCCAATGCGCTTGAACGGTTAGTGTCACAAAGCAGCCCCCCACATTTCAACAGGCCCGAATCGCGCGGTTTCCTGAATCGCATGGTTTCCTGAATCGCGTGGTTTCCTGAATCGCGCAGTTTCCTGAATCGTGCAGTTTCCTGAATCGCGCAGTTTCCTGAATCGAGCAGTTTCCTGAATCGCGTGGTTTCCTGAATCCGCTGGTTTCCTGAATCGCGCAGTTTCCTGAATCGCGCAGTTTCCTGAATCGCGCAGTTTCCTGAATCGCGTGCTGTCAGTTTCCTGAATCGCGCGGTTTCCTGAATCGCGTGTTTTCAGTTTCCTGAATCTTGTGGTTTCCTGAACCGCGGTTTCCTGAATCGCGGGAAAACAATTTCCTGAATCGCGCAGTTTCCTGAATCGCGTGGTTTCCTGAATCCTGGTTTCCTGAATCGCGCAGTTTCCTGAATCCTGGTTTCCTGAACCCTGGTTCCTGAATCGCGTCCAGTTTCTGAATCGCGCATGGTTCCTTGTGTTGTGTGGACCTCCTATACATCGTGCTCCACGCAGCCCTCGGTGGGTCGCGCAGCGTTAAATCAACAAAATGCTGCAAAATGCTCAGGCATCAATGCAAAGCCAACTTGGACAGTTTCCGGGACGAGCACATGCCCTGCATAAAAAACGGCCGGGATTACTGGCGATTTCTCATGTTGATTTGAGGGTCACTTGAGGTTTCTCCCAACTATCCTCCATCTTGGACTAGCGCCATCTCAATCATCCACTCCCCTTTCCTAAACTAGGGCTTGGGGCCTTCCAATTCCAGGGTTTGGCTTAGGGCGTTTTCCAATGTTTTCCACTCATCACCTTTCAGAGCTCAGGGGTCAGTTGTGGCATCATCGTCGCCAACAGTCGCCTGTGCCGCACTGACTAGAAGTACAGTGACGGCACTGCTTAAGGATGCAAAAGAAACATTGGTTTAACAGAATGAAGGGCTCGGCTGAGAGCTGAAACCCAAAGCGCGACGAAACATGGTTGCCCCCAGCTTGGGCTTGTATCCTCGAATCTACAGTCACTAAACAATTCCAGGCCAAGGCCCAAATCAAACTAAGCCCGTACCAACCCTGGAGTCTGAGGGGCGGGCCTGATTATTCGGCACTGTGGGTTTTGCCAAATTCTGGAGGGCCAGCCCACCCCCCCCCCTCCCCTATTCGTCAGAATCTCGGATTACGGCATTCCGCTCGCCATCTCCTTTCGATTTCTGGATTTTCCGGATGTGTTTCCGCTTCATCTAAAATGCTGCAATTACGGAGGGAGATGCCCCATCAAGAGCGAGCAGTCATAAGGGTCAAAACCAAGTCACAAGTGAAGCATCTCCTTACGCGCTTGCTCGTTTCGACTTCTCTTCGTTCCGTTTACACCTACAACAAATCAGCAAGGGTGGCAAGGGAATCTTCAGTTCTTGGGCAGCCTGAAGGTGTCACCAATTCGATCCACAAAATACCACCGTCCGCCGGAGTCCTCAAGCATCTAAAATGTATTCTTTCGGTGCATGGATGCACACAATTGCGCATAGACTCACATAGACTCCGTGGAGGTCCTTCGAAAGCAGGTCACCGGAACGAAACCAGGCATCACCCTTGGTAAAGACGTCTCGCAGCACCTCCGCACCACCACCACATAAGTAAAAGTTGGGCGCACGTCACACACATGTGCCTGATCCTTTCACGGTCGCAAATTCCGCTACGCAGCGGCCCAGCAATTACGAGGGAGCCTTTTTCTTTTGCTGTCGCAGGCAGCTCAGGCCAATAGGCCACTTGCTTGGCTGCAGCACAAGATGCAAAAGAAGTGCTTCTACAAGGGAATGACTCTGCACACCCACAGGATTCGAGAATCAGATCAAACAGTGTCAAAGCGACGCGTCTTTCATTTACAAGAACCTGACAGCAGCTTCTTTGCCACAGAGCCCGGCTGTGTGTGATAAATGTCTTGACTCGAAACATCTTCGGTACTGCATACCTGCACACTCGAGAGCAAGTCTTACAATCGACGTGTTATACTGTTATACTTCAGCTCTCTCGACTTCCAACCTAAGACCACCCGCAGCCCCTTACCTTTGCCCTCAGGCAAGGTCCATGTTACCAGCTCATGCGAATGGTCAGAGAATCCATGCCCGTACGATTCCGCACGATGATCACGTTCGTGAACCAAGCGCGCGCGAAGGGCCAGAGCATCCATGCCCGCGCGACGCTTTTTATGTTGCGACGTTCAAGTGGCTACGATCAGGGTGAGAAACAGAGCTCTCGAAACAACCAATGTATTTCTTTGTCAACATGCGGCAAACGTGGGGTAGAATCTACCAGGGCTTGCTGTAGTGAGGGATAGCGAAACTTTTTCATGCAGCATCAGTCTCCGGATTGCAGGTGGATGCTGGTGTTGCGTGTTGCCTTGACTGGTACAGTGGCAAGACTCGTAGGACAAGCTCGGAAAAGGCCTCGGCAAAGGCCGGATGCAGAGCACTCGTGCGCCACAGGCCGGTATGTGAGGCGGCGTTTTGCCGTATGATTCCTCATGATTCCTCGTGATTCCTTCCTTGCGGTTACAAGGCAACAGGCTGTGGTGGTATAGAGTAGGATGAAGAAAGGTGCAGGTGTGAACATTTTCGGAAGGCGGCTTTTCCGACTCGGAAACGCTAGATGTGAGGGCGTGTGTACGAGGATCAACACAACGTCACATCCCAACCTGTTGGCACTCTACCTGTACCAGCAACATACACATACATACCATCCTTGCAAAGCCTCTCGATTTCCGCAGGCATGCAATAATTGCACTCTGCGTGTTCGCAGCTTGATTTCTGTACACACTGGTCTTGCTTTGCAAAACCAGAGATGAGGTCGGCCCAAGCTGAGCCACCTGTGCTGAAGAATGCCTACCCGGGCCTACCCGCACAGGGCCAGGACAACCGGCAAAAGTCGCCAGGACACCACCACTCCACATACTCCACTGCGGAGGCTCAGAGGGACTGCAAACACCTAGATCACTCGTGGATCTGTCCGATGAACGCGTGGTTCGAAGTTGGAAGTCAGTCACTTTCAACTGGGATCTGGGAGGTGTAGTAGCTTGTGTGACATGCGGCGAAGTGCCCAACCGTTCAAGAGCCAGCTTCTAACCACATGGTGGTGACCCCAACAAGACACTACATTCCTGGCAATCTCCACATGGCGAGAGAAACCATCTTTTCCCAATGGCCGTCTGGATATCACTCGGATCTTTGCAGAAGCGTAAGTCGGGGGTGCGTTCATGTCAACTTATTCTGAAAACCCGCTGCCCTCATTGCACTTCAGTCATTGGCACTTCTCAAACTTCTCATCTTTCAGCACCTGGAAGCACCGCAACTGGCTCAGCGGTTCTCAGCAGCGACTGTCTTTTGAATGAGCACTGATTGAGCACTGATTGAGCACTGAGCCCGCACCTTTCTTGGCTTTCTTGGCTTCCACTGCGCGGCCACTGCACGGAGGGAGGCGGCTATCAACACCGAAAGGCCCCAACAGTGCCTGGACAGACATGGAAACGACAATCTCAAGAAAAGCGCCGTCGTAAAGCACACAATCGAGTGGGAGAGCCTTTTGCTTGTACACAGATACCGAGGTGGGCAGATATGGTCTGTGTTGCACGAGCCTAATATTGATGGGGTGGTCCGAACACCAGAAGCCTGGTGTTCAGAGTTTGACTGAACTTATTCAGCATTCTTATAAACCCAACACTGAACGTTTCATACATACTGGATTGCAAGAAGTGGGCATCAACACGTAAGGCCTCAGCACTGTCCAACAAAGGAGAACCGCAACAGATATCGAGGCGCAGACTAAGCACTGGAACTTCATGATTTGAAGCGCCTCTAACCACCTTCTTATCACTTACACAACCCCTTGTCACCCAGAATACACCCCCAGGGGAGCCTGCGCACACGGACGTTGTGCCAGCCCAGGCATAAGGAATTTCCAGTAATGAGAAGACTTGAAGCAAGGACCTGGCGATGCAGATTGCTTGGGAAACCCAAATGAAACAATGATATTCATGTCAGGAATGCGAAGAAGTGACACTAGCAAGAGCTTGTTCCTGGCCACGGTTTGCAAGTCCCGGTCCTTGACGACCTGCCCCACGAAGGCCTGGTGGATCGGCTCCTGTGCCTGTTTCGTGGCTTGGGTTCTCGACGCAAGGGAAGCACTTGTTGATTCAGGATCAGAACTCGATGATTGACAGTGCTTTGTTCCTCGTTGAATAAAAATCGGGCCTCCAGCAGGCGCTGCAACTTCAATGAATTGCCCAGACCAAAGCTGCAGCTAGTAATCAGGGCATACACCTTGAAAGAAGCTCAGTGACACTGTGACTCACACTTTTCACCCTGCACACACAGGGAATAATCATGTATAGATATCTGTGCGAGCACGTACGATCACGAACGATCATGTACAATATGCACGACTATATGTAGGAACACGTACGCACGCCCGCACACATGCATGCACACCTGCCCGTACTCAGCAAGGACTGTTTGCCGAGTCGATCGATGAAAAGAGCAAAGGAAAACAGAAGGCCAAAGCTAAGGCCAAGGCTGAGCCCGAGGAAGGCCAGGAAAAGAAAGGAAGCAGTGGCAGAGAGCCGAAGCCCCCTGGCACTGCGTGAACGAACGGGTGCCTCGATCGAGAATCCGTTTACTGGAGCGTTTCGAGTCCAGAACGGGAGTACGGGCACTCATGTTGCCGTGGCGGGCAATCCGGGCGGCAGTAAGACGGGGTGGATGGGTAACTCGAGTATGAGTCTGGCGGGTACTACTGTCGTTCAGGTATACGCGACCATGTCACGGAGGAAGCTCCTCATCGCCATGTTGAATTGGGCCGCTGCTCTTGCTATCTGTAGCACTGCAGCGCGCGCCTGGAGCAATGGGTGCACCTGGGGCATGCCTGTGTCTCCCAAAGGAGCCGCTGGCTTGCGGGACCCCTGACAAGGCCAAGGTAGGAAAAGGTAGGCCCTCTGTGATCCTGAGCAGCAAAGCGCTCGATTGCGCCCCGCGCGTACAGGGCCGGGTTTCCGGGCCTCCGTGGATCACGTCGACACGCTGGAATCTCGCTGCGCGATGATTTTCGCCGTACCCGGAAGGATCGGGTTTGCATGGGTTTGCCTTTGAGCCACGTAGGGAGCTCCTGCGGTACACCGCTCGGAAGCTCTAAGCCTCAAGTTAGGGGACGGAGCTTGGTTCCCGTCACCCGCAAGGCTACAGCGAACCGGCACCCGTCGCTCGTCGCAGGCGCACCAGCACCATGGTCATATACATACAATGTGCACGACACGGCACACATGCAGGATGGCCGCTTCAATGCACTCCTACAAGTACGAGTAGCACTTCGCGGCCCGGCTCTTTACTTCGTAGCAAAATTTTGCCGACGTGGCGCAGGCAGCGGCAGCAGCGGCGAGGCCTGCAGTATTTTCCGGTCCAGAAGTGTCGAGACGCTGCCGAGCCAGGTTAGCAGCGAAGCTGCCTGGATCTGGTGACTCAAGATGACTTCAGCACAGCTCAAGCAAAAAGTTCACGAGATCGTGCAGCCCGGCGGCAACTACGCCAATCCCTGGCAACAGCTTCGGCGCTCCACTGAAGAATGCCCGAAGCAACAGTGGAAGGTAGGCAACATGCAACAGCAGCCTCGGGAAAGCTATACTTCCTTCAGGGTTCACAGCCCCAAGCCATGCTCACGGGGAGGGGCGACAGGCGGACAATAAAAGCCACAGGGGCGGGGGAGAACTTGATTTTGGGACATCCAGAAGTTTGCTAAGCATTCGTTGGATGCTTACACCGAATAACCTTTTGCAACCAATCAACCAATGATTTTTGCCACGGCACAAATTTCTCTTTTTGGGGAGACATCATCCTGCCGAGGAGCCCGGATGCCAGCAGTGTAAGCGGACAGGGTCGTCCCAGGAAGGCACCACCAAAAGCAATGTTCCTGAAGCATGTGGTTTTGTGCCAAGGTGATCCGTGTGCAATCAATCGTGTGCAGACACAAGTCGTACAGCCTACGCCGGAAACACTCGCACCCTCTCTTTTGCACACTATGTTAACATTTCCAAGTGATGTGATGCAGGTGCTGGGCCACTCCTGCCACTCCTCCAACTCTTGTGCCCACACACAGTCTCAAGCAGCCAAGCTTCAGACAAGGAGTGCAGGCTAGAATGTAGCCCCAGTCAGTTATTTCCTGGAGGCAGCAACAACCCGATGCTGACGGTGAACAAAACACCTTCTGCCAAGTCACGGCACTCCGCTTGTGCACGCACTGCATGCCATGGCCGACGGAGAAGAGCGTTGCGCCAATAAACTTCATGAGATGCCTGAATCTGCTCGATCACGCAATGGCAAAACATGGCTGAACAGTTCAGATCAGTTCAGTTTACAGTTCGACCTTTCTTGTTCTCTCCTCTGCCAGATGCTGCGCCCGACCTCATTTAAATACCAGGCAGGGCTCCCAAAGGAATCCGCAAAGTCAGGTGACACGCGGCGCCGCGTGTACAAATACAGAGCACGCAAGAACTTCAGGTAGAGCAGCGGAGCCTGAGTTGTGACATAGGGGCTGGAAGAGGTCTTGGATCTGCAAGTTGTGGCTCTCCGCTCCTGTGACAGCTCCCAGCTAACCTGCATATGCCTGCACGCCTCCCGCAAGGCTTCTCAACAATGACCCGTAGTCCCGCCGAGGGCTCGACTGAGCTGATTATCAGGGCTGATGGAAAGCTCAGCACTTGCCCATCCATGGCATGCGTCAAGGTCCCAGTCGTTTGGGGCTCCCTGTATAGAATTAACAGTGAGGCAAGAAAAGCTGCAAGAATCAGACTTCAAGCATATGGTTCTCGCGATGTCTTGCATTCTTGGTAAAGCCCTCGGAAGGGGATGGCAACAGGGCACCTTCTTCTCGGTGGCCTTGGCGTCCGTGTAGCCTACAAACCTGCAGAAACACTCTCACTTCTGATGCAAGGATGAAGGATGTGTTCGATAGATGAGGGTACTCATGGGCGCGAATGAAACATAACTAAGCAGAACTAAGCATAGTAAAGCATCATTAAGCATGGTTAAGCACCAGCCTTTTGGTGGGATGGCTGTTGTCGATAGGGCAGATCAGCTCGCCTTGGCATCTTAGTTATGTCTTGAAGAACCTTCATGCTCAGGTACCACACAAAGCTCAGCACTGGACCTGCCTCGCCCGCTTCAGCCTCGATGCCTTGAAGCACATGGTAGAACAAGGAATCAAGCAGCATGAATCTGCAAACGCGGTCATCTCCGGACCCTCGTGAAATTTGCGCTAAGAAATGCCGAGCAGCAGAACCCACTGGGTCCGCGGATTGGAGTCTCGGTGTCAACGTCAAACTTTACGATCTTGAACTTGAGGAGCTGACAGGATTCCCCTATGCTCCCATACTATCGTATTCCCAAGAAGTCTGACCGCCAAGCACTGCAGTATCCAATCTCTTGCATGTCTACCGAAGAAAGCCTTGCCTTGTCAAAGAAGAAGCCTCCTTTGCCGATTGCGCCTCGAGAGGCCAGGTCGGTCTTCCTGACAGAGCATACAGGGGCCATACAGGGGCCATACAGGGGCCATATTAGGCGCAGTTGGCCAACAACCCGATAATGCTGCCGGATGCTGCCCTCCTGCAGTAGTTGATCAAGGCACCATTCCCCTCTGTGGCAGCATAGAATCTGAGTTGGGAATCGCTTGAGAAGCTGATGCAGCGAGTGGTTCTGGGCCATGCGGGCACTGACATTGCAAGTCCAGAGAAAATGAAAAAGGGGCGGGGCACCTTCTCCAGGAGATTGTTCTTATCAACAAAAACCCGCAAAGCAGATTCCTGGGCAGGTGTACGGGTGTGGCCTCGGCGAGACATCCCTTTGCCAGATTTGGCCTTGCGCCCCCGCAGACCCAACCCAACCCAAAAGCCGGATCCTGCGTTTCCCTCTTCTTTTTGCATATGGGGCCCCGCGAGTCCACAGTCCATATTGCTTTGTGGTTGCAGTACCCTGTTGACTGTGCTGACAAGCAAAATGCATCAAGTGCATAACTTGCCAGTCCAAGGAGCTCAACCACGAGCGGAATATTGAACTTGTCCTGAAACTCGTCCCAGACTTCAGGCCTCCAAAGTTAAACATGAACAAACAAACACAACACAACACAACACAACACAACACAACACAACACAACACAACACAACACAACACAACACAACACAACACAACACAACACAACACAGCACTCAACACAACACAACACAACACAGCACTCAACACAACACAACACAACACAACACTCAACACACACACAAACACACAAACACACAAACACACACACACACACACACACACACACACACACACACACACACACACACACACACACACACACACACACACACACACACACACACACAACACACAAACACACACGACACACAACACACAAACACACACAACACACAACACACACAGACACCCAACACACAACACACACAACACACAACACACAACACACACAACACACTCACATAAAACACACACACACACAACACACAACACACAACACACAACACACAACACACAACTCACAACTCACAACACACAACACACAACACACAACACACAACACACAGAACCACCACACAACACGCAACACACCACACACAACACACCACACACAACACACAACACACAACATACAACACACAACACACAACACACAACACACAACCCACAACGCACAACGCGCAACACACAACACACAACACACAACACACAACATACAACCCACAAAGCAAGATTATCAGGAAAAGAAACATGTATATAGATACATGTAAATAATGTGTCCTTATATATAAAGATATGTATATATATGCACACATAATGGACGCACTATGCGATGCCAGAAACCCTTTCAGCCTCAGTCCGTTCCCCACGGCGCCCTTGAGCTTGTGAGGTATTCGGGTCACCTCTGGATGCTCCCTGCAGCAAGGAGAGAAAGCACACGCTCTCGAAAACTTGGAAACCATTACAGCACAGAAGTCAACAGGAGCGACAGCAACCAACATTAGCCAAAGCCAGTCAAAGCGTGCAGCAACAGCCAGGAGTTCTACTTCATTGAACCCGGAGCTTTGAAGACACTTGAATCTAACACTTCGCAAAGACTTTCAGATGCCCCCGATTCCCTTGCACTTCGATGCAGTTCGCCAAGGCCTGGCATAGTTCACCAGGTAGCGTCCAAGCTCTCCTTCGCAAATCGCAAATCATCTGTGCTGACAGCATGCAGCACGCAGCTTGACAAGGCCTCGTGAGGATTTTGCATCCAACCCAGTCATGGGCAGGCGAAACCCAATATTGAATAGCGTGTCTCCGTTCAGATGCGTGCGGGGTGCATGCATGAAGTGGAGGCTTTGCGGCTTTACATGGTTACGAAACCTCAGAGGGCCAAGTATCTCTGACGCCATTCACCACTACTAGTACGGAACCATGACTCACAAAGCAATACCAACAAATGCCAGAAACCGCATGCGACCAACAGTGGGTGCAGCCACCGACATTGGGCGTAGCCCTACGCGGGCCGCGGCCGCATTTGCGGTGGACCGGCATGGGATGTAGACATTCGTGGCACACGATCTCGTTCTGGAGGACATTTTGTAGGAGGGTTGACAACCTTGTGAGGCAGACACAGGCAGACCAAACAAGCGGTCCAATGAGAATCATTTTGCTTGCAAGCACCAAGTTCGACATCAACCCAATCCATCAGCATACATGCAAGCCCCGAACACGGCCGTGTCATGTCCTATGATAAATTATTGAAGGAGTTGATCATGTAGCGCCAGTTGGGGAAGTCTCATCATAATCACAATCATAATCGTCCTCACTATAGTCATCAACATTGGCTGCTGCTGCATAAGAAATGGGGACAGGGATGGGAACAAGGTTTTAAGATGTGTCAGCCAGAGTTGTCAAGCGACCCACGCCCCAGAGCCCACAAGATTCCCACTGCCTTCTCCAGACATTCGCAGAAATCACATGCAAGCAGTAGCCCATTGAAACAACAGAAGTCTCGTCATCATCAGGGCCACCTTTTAACAGCAACGTTACGGCGCGCGATTCCGCCCCCACGGAGTGTGCAAGTGTTGAATGCGGGATAGCTCAACCGGCCAAATAATCCACGGGGCTTCTATGGGCTTATGCCCTTGAAAACGATGGAGCTCCAGAAGCGGCGCGAGCACCGTGAAGAGGCCACAAAACTTAGGCCGACGGCACCTTCTTCAGGAAACTAATGGGCTTCCGGGCTTCCGTTCAGAAACCCGGGTCCTATGTATTGGAACGCTGTGCAGCCATGTTCGGAGATTTCTGTCCAAAAGCCTTGGCTGCATTGCACGAAGTTGTTTGCGCAATGTTGCCAGCGCAAACCGAACCTAGGTCTGGAGGCTGCAAAGCACATCTAGTTTTTCCCAATGTCTAAGATCCACATTCCCTGCTCCGAAACCCCCTCGTTGTCATTCATCAGATCAAGTGTCACAGACCAGTGTGCGCTACTCTCTAACATATGCACGTCCCAGATGCTTGCACCGCGATGCTTCACTACTCACAAACAGCCGATGCAAATTCCTATCGTCCCTAGGTTCCCACCGAGAAGCGACTGGCACTAAACCTCCGTGACACGACAAGAGTTGCGCCCGACCTCACAGCGAGAATTCAAGACACAGACTGGCTGATCCAGCTGCTTCCAGAATCCGAGCGAGGGACAGAATGCAGGACATAGCGCCCAAACCCCCACCGGCACTGTGGTAGAGAGGCAAGCAAGTGTAAAGTTTGTCTCCTGCAGAGACCATTGCGCGATGGTTCAATATGCACAGCCCACGGCCCACGGCTTTCAATGCTGAGCTCACTTTCCTGGGCCCAGCCGAAGGAGGGCACACGCACCGCCCATGGTGAACATTCGGGAGTGGAGAATCTTTGCTGCCTAGACAGCATGGCATCAGCATGGCTCAACGGAACAAAGTTGTCAACGACATGCCCTCGCACATGGCCTTCGGCAGACCGGTCGTACCGCTGGTGTAAACATAGCCAAACACGTCCGTGAACTTGATGCCTGCATATACTTCATTTGTGAAGGGTTCAGCAGCATGCTCAGAGAAAAGACCGTCGCCTCGTCTAAGCTCCGCTAAACCGTCGCCTGCCGCCATGGGATTCACTTCTTCTCGCAGCAGGCGACCGCTTGTCACCGCTTGTCACCGCTTGTCGCTGCATGTCTCTGCATGTCACTGCGGTCTGGCCTGAGTAAGGAAATCCCAAGAGTTGATCATAGTCAACAGCCAAGACTGGTGTTTTGAAGGTCTTCCGTGGTTGGCCTGGCCGATGTGGCACGTAACCCGGCCATTTAAGGGCAATCGCCCCTGCCTCCCCAGAACAAGAGCTTCATGCCACGCTCTTGCAGGGCAGCATCAACGGTGTGAAGATTTGCCTGTGCAATCCAGTCATGCGTGTCCAGCCACGCAGCTGGGGTTGGTGAGTTGCTGACGATTCACTTCATTGCCACACCTCACACTCTCCATCGAAGACGACACCGAGGCAGTCCTGCAACTTTCGGAAATCTCAGATACACGTAGTGTCGCCAAGCTCTGAGCGAAGATTTAGCCTCACCACAACAGCCAGGGCCCTTTGCACTGACACGCATGAATTGCTGATCTACTGGCCTTCTTGAATGGGGACTTTTCGTGCTCCCAACTATGATGGTCAAGAGAGGTCCCTTGTCCTCAACAGCAGTGCAGAGACAGTGGGCTAAACCACCACCTGCCATCACGAAAATGCACCAGATACACAGGGTCAACGAACGTAAAATCAAGCAGGTCGATGCCTGTCAGATTAAAGTTCAGAAGGGCCACCTTTCCACAACATGACACGGAAACAAATTTGGGCCAGCCAGCGAGAATCCAGCTTTTACCCAAACCGGTGGCTGCACAGTAGCTGCAACAAACACCTGCCTTGACACCAATTTTGGCCTCAATTCCCGCTGACAGGAAATGGCACTCTATGCATCTGAATGTCTTGACCATTCAGCCGAGGTTAACACCATGGCTAGCCACCAACACACGAACTCGGGCTTGTTCTCCATCATAAGCCCCATGGTCTGGAATTCTCAAAGGGGAAAGTCATAAACTGTAAAGGCCTGGTGGTATGCTTGAAGCATCTTGGTGGGCTGTGGGTGTATGGCTGTGTGTGTGTGTGTTGGTTGCGAGAACAGAAAAACCTTCACGTTCTGGGGCTGATCCTATAAAACCGCACAAGCAAAAAAAAAGACAAAACAACGCAGGCCGTTGATAACCTGATTGCCCATTTGGGGCTCTTATTGCAAAGCGGCAAAGCGTGCATCTGCCCAAATTCCCCTTCACACGATGATGCCGCTACTACCAGGGTACCTTTCCATCCTCTCTTGGCTCGCGGATAGTGTACACGTGTTTTTACAATTCTTTACCCGTGATTCTGTGCACATGTCATTGTCGCCAGATGATGCCTGCCCGGGCTGCAATCCCTGCTGGCGAAGACAATGGGCCATCTGATTGGACACGTGATCTACGTCCTGCCAAATATGCAGCACACACGTAAACCTTTGAAACCAAAGAAGCAGACATTGAAACCACTTCTCCTGGAATGTCATTCTTCGATGCTCGAACACGATGAACGTTTCACTTCCAAACCGTCCGACAGACTCCAGCCACCTGGCAACGCAAGGGGTCCACTCACAACATCAACGAAAAAATCAAGAATGCAGGATCCGTAACGAGCTGGGAGATGATTTCAACTTTCCACATGATCACGCGCAATTGCACAAAAAATGTGCCAGTCGAACACATCAGCCATGGAATAACCTCACCCACACAGTGAACTGTCATAGTTGTGCAGCTCTTTAGCTGCAGATGGATGGAAGCATAAATCTGTTTAACACGTGTGCCAGATTCTGCCACCCACAGCGGCGTGTGGAAAACTGAGGATTCTGCTGCTCATTTTCATGCCTCAGGAAATGTGATACAATGCACTCACACCCGGCTTGCCTGCAATCATCACATACACTGGCACACTGCAACCAAGAAACGACTTTGCAGCCGAAGCAGTGCAGGGAGAAGACTAATGCCAAGGCGTGCATCATTGGTAAGACTGAACCTGCAAAGCACTGCAAATGCGAACGACACTGCCCCATGTCTGAGATCGACAGACGTCAAAGATAAGAGCCACACTTCTGGTCCAACGCATAGGCTCCAGCTGCCAATGCACCGATTCCTGTCATTAAAGGTCGAGTTTCGCCCTTGCAGCATTTTGGAATGTACTCTGTGCGGCTGGCTGCTGTGACCTGCTAAAGGTGCGACCACCGCCGTGCTACCGCGCGCTGCCATTTTAAATGTACTATTTGCTTGGAAATTACGTCACAAGTGCGTGACACGTGGTCACGGAGTCAATGCAAAGCTAAGCAAGCAAACTACCATCAGAGCTGCCCAACTACCCTTTTGCTACAAAACCTTCCTTGCTACAAATCCATGAAATTCATGCAAGGTTGCTAGAAAACATTGTGTTGTATGATGGGCCCTGTCATGCTGCAGCACTCATGCACAGACCAACAAGTACAAAGGTATCGTCGCTGGCAAAAGATCTTCATCCGAAATCAAGACTGTTTCCGGCAGGTTCCAAGTCCGGTCAGAAAATCAGAGAAAGACTTGCAACATCACATTGTCGTGTTCGGACGCTCCTGTTTAAGGCTCAGGACTTTGGAGTTTTTGGGTTGAGTTGGATGTTTGAAGTGCCCTTTCATTTACACTGACCCTTTCCTGGCCTTTCCTTTGCGCTTTGGCTTGGGTTTTGGATTCGGGTGTCCAATCGATCACTTGCATCCCTTCTCTTTGTCATTTCCATCTGATTCTTGTCTTTCTGTTTGTGACCAGGTTCTTCAAACCAGGTCCTTCAGACCCTATCGTTGCTGAACCCCAAAGTTCAAGACAACCCGCCTTCGGACTTTGCCATAAGCATGGTAGGTGTGGAGCAGGCCGCCGCGGATAGATCTTCTGGACTGCAAGGCCGGACCGGCGTGTGATATGAGGACTGCCAGGACTCTCATCATCAGCAGCACGCTTTCCTGGACACAGTGGTCTCGCCCGGGCGGACGACGCCCGCCCTTTCCGGAAGCACAAGCTGGCCCAGCAGAGGGCCCGTCCAGCCGTGAAAATCCTGAGGTTGCTTTGGTACCTTTTCCCTTGCAAGTACAAGGCCTAAACCCAACCCAGGGACGCGAAGGCGGACTTATTTCTTGTCACTTGAGCCTTGGGCCAAAGTTCACGAAGTGCACAAAAATCAAAACGAATTCACACGACAACTTCAGAACGAAATTCCTACTCATCCGCTACTCAAACGAATTTTTCAAAGACTCAAAACATACAGCGTATTGGGCCTAAACATCACATCATGATTCACCTTCTTGCTATTATTTTATCCAGTTCGTTTATTTGGATTATAAGGAAATGACTGAAAGGAACGAAGACAACGAACAAGAAAAGAAAACGATTAAAGGAAAAATGCAATGTAAATTAATATGAGAAGGTGAACAGAAAAAGGCTACTAAATCATAAGGAACTAACATAGTTCTTCTTAAACGTGCGAATGAAAAGAGCACGTCAAAGCAACAACAACAACAACAACAACAACAACAACAACAACAACAACAACAACAACAACAACAACAACAACAACAACAACAACAACAACAACAACAACAACAACAACAACAACAACAACAACAACAACAACAACAACAAGAAAAGTAAAGTCCATAAATATAATTGATGTGCATTGGACGGGCGCTTTTACTTCTTTTTTAGTTTTCTTAGAGCGCCACTTATGATCCTATTAAGAGACTGACAAGTGAATAAAGTCAGCAAAATTTCACGAAAACATAAGAATTTGATAAAAGAAATAAGAAAACGCACAAACGAACACGGACACGGCTTTTGCCCTGCTGATACGTAGGAAACTTTCAAAATTTAGGAACTGCCTCTGCTGGGGCCTCCATCAATTCCCGAATTATCTCTCACACTGCGCTCTCAGCCACGCATCATCGCGCTTCTTGCGCGCAGCGCATTGTGACTGACCTTGTGGCCTCGAAGTTGAGATCGTTCACCATTTGCTGCACGTTCGAAGCACGTCACTTACAAACATTGTAAAAACACAGCAGCAGTGCGCTGAACCCTCTTTTCCTCACGACTTGAGCTAAAATCACAAGCCCTTTGTCAGTGAAATTCTTTACAAACAAGTGAAAAACTCTGCTCTGCCACGTGTTCTCCACAACCACAACACAAACTCAGGGGGGAATTCCCGCCACCTGACTACTGAGCTCAGGGAGAAGCCCAGGGCCGGAGCCAGGCGAAAAGGCAAGCGACCTCTGGCCTCCTCCCCTGCGAGCAATGGCTCCCCTGCTGAGGCATCTTGTTGCGCGGAGATAGTGTCCAAGGTTCCTCCCACCCCACCTCCCCCTGTGAAAAAGGAGACTCGTCTCCTGGTGCTGGACAATGCGAGGCCACAGGAGCCACCGAAAGCGAAGCCTCGTAGTGCCTCTCCTGGTCTGCAGGGCACCGTTCATACATGCCGCACCTGCTTGGCAGGAGCGCAGGAAACGGATGGGAACAACCAGTCGGTCTGTGGCCTTTTGTGGAAAGCGCTGTGACGTCACTTCGAGCGGACCGTCAGGTCCACTCTACATGAGTCTGAAGGACTCGACGCACCCATGAACAACAACTTTGTGCCTATCGAGCCTATGAAGATATGTTGCTTGCCGACCCACCTGAGCACCTTCTAGAGGTAACTAAAAGCTCTATGACCCGCTTGTACCGCAGTGCCCAAAGCTCTCTGGTTCTCTGCAGTTCATTGACCTTGAAACAATGCTAGGCAGCAATGCTCCACAGTTGGACCGAGCCTCCCTCCAGGACTCCATTGTGGGAGATGGCTTCCTTACTCTATTCTGTTGGGTTCCCAGAATCCGAGCATTTTTGAACCGACGCCTCTTTACTACATCAGCAGCGCAGTAGGCCGTCCTTGTGGGTCTCAACACTAGAGGTGAAACAGTCGCAGGCGCGAAAACCGAAACAAGCACACACCAAAAACACCACCAAACACAACCACAAAAACCCGCAGCAACCCGCCAAAACCAAAAGCGCCAAACGTCAAACTGTACAAGCCAGCGACTGAAAAAGAAGTCGTGACTACAAAGAAGCAACGGCTAGCGCAGAGGCCCTTATTGCAAGACAACTTAACGCCCGGCCAGCATGGTGAGACCAATGCAAACAAGAACCTACCTGCACCAATCAATCAGCAGCCCGTCACCCAAAGCAATGCTGCGCCACGTCTGGTACAGACATTAAGCGAAAGTATGGGTAGGCCGTAAGGCAAGGAACCTCCGTCACCTAAACTGCTCAACGCGTCCGTAGAGACAGTCCCCGCACAAGCGCCAGGGCCGTAGCAATAGCACTCAGGACTCCATTGTGGTTGGCAAGAAAGTTGCAAGCACACTAAGCACAATGCACACAGACTGCCAGAAAAGGCGCCCCCTTCCCCCCCGACGAGCGGGGGCAGACAAGGGGCTGGTGTGGCTACACTATGCTGCAGTCTGCGCTGCGTGAGTCCGGGCGTCCTCACGTAGCTATGGCCATAGGGCAGGCCTGGAGCGCTGCTTGCAAGCGGCCATATTGTTACAGCCCGGCCGATTTTTGAGACGGCGCAAGAGCCCCAAACTACTGGCTGGCACTTGGGCAGCGTGCTTCCCAGGTACCGGGAGCCTATCGGCTTGGCTTGCTTAGCCTGGTGCAGTTTAAGGCCCACAAGGCTGCTTAACGGTCTGCAGCCAACCGCGCGTCAAGTGTGAGAGTCAAGGGGCCTTAGAACTCGGAGTCCCGCGCAGCGGCCGATTTTTTGAGAGCACTTCAAGCAGGTTTACCCCGTGACTACACCTGATGCGGGACCCACAGCAAAGTGCTAGGCCTAGTCACTTTTGGACCTGCTGGGATAGGTCGAAGCAGCAGTTCCTCACATCCCTTCTGGGCCTTCTGGCGAAGGTTCCGGCAGCCGTTTGCAGGGCTTAATCACTTCTGGGCCTTTTGGAGAAGTTTTAGGCAGCAGTTTGAGAGGCCTACTCACTGCTGGGCCTTCCGGAGAAGTTTTAGGCAGCAGTTTGAGAGGCCTAATCACTCTGAGCCCTCCAGGGAAGGTTGAGGCAACAGTTTGAGAAGCCTAATCACTTCAGGGCCTTCAGGCAACTGTTGGGACAGCAGTTTGAGAGGCCTAATCATTTCTGGGCCTTCTGAAAATCTTGAGGCATCAGTTTAAAAGGTCTACCCACTGCTTCTGCTTGCCACAGCGCAGGAGGGCGGGCGCCCTCCTGGCCGGGCAGTGAGACTGCAGGCAAGGTGCCCAAGATGCCTGTCAATAGATGCGGCATCCATTGCTTGGCATCCAGAAACTTAAAGATACTGTGGTCCCTCAACTGCCCCGCGCAGCGGCCGAATTTTGCGACTGCAAACCTGTCACAGAATGGGCAGTTTGCGCAAGACGATACACATCTCTGCTGCTCTCAGGTCCTGTGAGAGCCGATAGGCTCGTGATATCTCTCCGCCTTGCTCACAG